TTTTACAGGCATGGGGCATGGTTACACATTTAATTGAAAACATGGTTGCCAATAACTGCTAACCATTTGTAAGATCTCTTTGACTAAACCATTTCGCAGTTCCCGCTAACATAAAATTTGATAACATTTTAAAATTAAAAGATAATGGAATAATTACATTTTTATTGTTCTATGTGTATAACAAACTAATATTACAATTTATGTTTTATAGTAATAGTATTGTAGTTGTAACTTGTAAGCATGGAACTACTTAGTTCATGCTTGTAGCCTGACAGCCTGTAGGTAAGACTTGGAGGCTGGTGAGTGGTGGGCGGTGGCTGGTGTAGCCGAAGGTCCTAAACCGTGCTAAACCCCAACTGTAATTTATAAAATGTCAAGAGATCTTATTTTTATAGCGATTGAACATTGAACTATTAGAGGTTTATCTGATATTAATATTATGGTAACCAATAATGTCCAGTTTCTATTTATTTTCTATTTTTGTTTTTCACTCAATGGGTAAAAACGTTAAAATTACGATCAAACGAGTATGAATAATATTAAATCATTATAAACGAATTGTTAATTACCAAGACTATCGTCTTTAGTGTACTGTCTAGTGTCTACGAATAAAATACAAATTTAATAATTATTTTGATTTAGTGATTAGTATTGTACGTACAAGTAATATTATAATTTCAACTACCTATACTTTAAAAAAAATAAATTATATTTTTCTATATAATATATTTGATTACATATTTAAATATAATAGTATATAATATTTATCAAAACAATAATTGTACCTATTATAAGTCATGTGAGTATTATTTTATTATTTGAATTTTATAATTTTGAATAGGTTTTCCATTATGTGTTAAAAAATAAGAAGTAAAATGTGTACCTAATAAGTAATTACCAGGCGCGGATCCAGATTAATTAGGGGGGGGGGCATTTTATATTTTGGACATATTATAATATATACAATTTAATAATTCTATTATACTATAATTATTAGGTAGGTACATTGAAAAGAAAACTCTTTATTTAAATACATTCAAAAAATGTGTTGAAAAAAACCAAAATGTTTTCAATTTTTCACGGTTCCATTTTTCTTTCCATAATCTAAACTCTGAACGTAATAATGTAAATACCATATCTTTTTCATTTGAAAGAAGTGCTTGAAAATCGTCTGCTAATGCTTTTATGATCATTTCTGATTTATTTAATGAATATGAAGTTTTATTTTCATTTATAAACTTGTTAGGAAATATATATGAAAGATTGAAGTACTCTAGTGTGTTGTATGTTTTGGGGATAAAAATGGGCCCCAGGGCCATGCCCCTCCTGGACCCTCCCTTAATCCGGGATTGTATATGAGAGTACAAAGTGGAATAATAATTTCACTGTCATATAATACTGTTAATAGGGATTTAGCTTTTCCAGAAGTATTCAAGCCTTTCCATGATGTAATTTCTAACAATGTATCAATAATGTTATGCATATCTTGCATAAAACTCATTACTCCTTCAGTCCTTCATGTTTCTCGACCAATCTCTTTTTACATAAGCCAATAAATTGATGTCCAACACATTTTTTTAAAACAACTGTTCTTTTAACTGATGCAGAAAAAAATGATACAGTTTCTTTAATTACTCCAATACCATTTTTAAAGATGTATTGTCGTCGATATGAGTAGTTCATGTATAATTGCACAGAATAAAATGAATGATACAGAATGAAAATATATTTTTTACGTTATAACGGTAGGGCGTATCAATGCGGACAAAATTACCGAATTATAAATAGAACGATTCAATGACCCTCAAAACAATGTAGTAATTTATTATTATTTATGATGTACAAAAAAATTAAAAAATAACAGCCTAAATAGTTCAGTTTTTATCATAGTCGCTATAAAAAAATAAAAATTTTTTTACCCCTTGTATCCGCGGTAATTACTAATAATTGTGGCGTTGTTAGCCTTAAGTATTTTAAACATATATCATATAGGGAATCTGTTAATTATCTATGGTTTTAAAAAATATTTGTGCTGTGTTAATAGGAATTATGATACATCTAGTGAGACATCTAATGATGAAATTGTTTCAATACATAATGCATATAAAAAGGAATTTTGTCGTCTCAGTAAAGAACATCAATGTACTTTAAATAGCCTAGAAGAATGCTACAAAGAACAAATATTATGTATAATTAAAGAAAAGGATTCAGTATCACTTCAATTACTGTCAATTTTTCAATCTTTATATGAGCATTTTCAACAAAAGTTAAAAAAATTAAAGCCAAAAAATGATAGAATAATTGACAAGTCTGGTGAGAAAATAGATGTAATCAACGAAACATACCAATGTATCATAAATGGCTATGAAAATAAACAACAAGATTTATTCAAAGAAATTTTAGAATTAAAAAAGGTAAATTTTTTATTAATTGTTAATTTAATTAATTTTTTCAAGTGTGATTTGATTATTTGGATTCAAAAGTTACATGTTTAAATTATCATCTTTATTGATACTGTCGTGTATTTACTATTTTAACCAAAATATTAGTATTTTTATATTTATGATTTTAACCATTGTGCTATAAGCCACGGACTTGATTAAAATTTCATTACATTTTTTTTTTTAAGATTTTAATGGAAGAAAAGAAGATTAATATAAATGTTTCATCAATTGGTTTGCTGGAAAAAGAAAATTCTATTTTAAAGCCAGATTTGAATAGTAATGAATCAAAAAGAAGGTTTAAGCCGGAATTAATAACTGGAGTCCTTATATGGTGCTTAGGTGTAATAGCTTGTCAAAAAAAGGTTAGTGCCAAGTTCATTAATTTGAGAGCACGTGATACCTGCATGCATTGTCTCCGTCTTACAATAGTTATTAACATAGTAATTTGTACTCTCAACAGAAGACGTAGAGCACCATCGGTTTACAAATTAGAGTGAATTGGCCTCATTTAAAATTTAAAGGTAAAATTATTATCTCGGCAATATTATATGCTTTTTATTATTTTATAATTTTTTAGTGAGTTATGAATATTTTATTATGCACCTACAAACAATTTACAATTTTAAAATACCAATAATTCGCTTTAAAATTATCAAATAATAAGAAGCATATGATATTACCTAGATCCATAATCTTACCTTTAAATTTTATAAGAGTTCAATTCACTAATTTGTTAACTAACAGAGATACAGGTGTTCTGCTGAGCGTACAATTTGCTATATTAAGAACTTGTAAGACAATGACAACACATGTGGGTATCATGTCTGCATGTATAAAGATTATATTAAAATGTCTAGTATAATCACTGATTTATAAAACCATTTGAATGGGTCTATGCAAAACAAGACAACTCTATTTAGTATTTTCATTAAAAATCTGGCTTGTATAATATTGGATAAAAATCTATAGTATACTAGTGTATCTGTGCAATAAAGAAACAGATTCAACAACCTGTTGAAGAAATATAACATACTTGGAGCTATTTTATTTTGTATTTACTGGTGAATAACCAGGTAACTCCAAAAATTAGTTTTTTTTTTCATTTTCTAAAGTTAAGAAACTGGTTTTTGCACAGATTCCCTTCATGTAATTATTAAATGTAAAATATCTAAACTACTGAAAAAACAACAATAAATACCTAAGCCTATAGGTGATATGTGGTTTTTAAAATAGACTTTCATTAAATTTACTATTTCATTTAATTCTAAACAAAAATTTTTTTACAATATTATAGGGTAAAACATCAAAAGAAAATTCAAAAACGGAATATTTACTTGAACTAGTTTTAGTTATAACTATGATTTGGCATTTGGGAAAATTTGGAGAAGATCGTAGACTTGGTTTACTGAATTTAGTTATTTGTGGAATTATATGTTGTACCTTAGGATTTTTTTAGAACATTTTCAATTGTATAAAAAATTTTCGCGAAAAATCTAATTTTTAGTTCTACTGAATATTTAAAACTATTATATTTTTGTTGTCTGTGTTATTTATTATAGTATAATATTTTTATTAATTTTGTATATCCTAGAATTTTAGTTGAATATTAATAAAATATCTACCATTAAATTAATTGTCTGTAAAATTTATCCTAAGATGCACAATTACACATTGAATCAAGTTTTTACTGAGTTGTCCTATTCTTCCAAAATATTTTATAATCACAATCTTAATCTATAAATTCAAAACATATAATTATTTATTATAAAGTTAAAAATAATAATTATAGATACCGATTTCCAATACAAGTATACACAATTAATATTATTCAGCTGAGGGTACTTGTGACAGAACTTGCAGCATTTATTACTATTTTATCATCATAAATACATTTAAGCACTTTTTAATCTAACAATACATTTAGGATTTTTTTTTAAAGATAATGTAAACGGTTTTTTAAATTTTTATTTAAAAAAAATGCTGAGGTTATTATTACATTATATTGTGAAGTATTATTATAACTTCAGAATTACAACTTAAGTGTATTTATATTTTTTTAGTGGTGTATACTTGAAATAAAAAAAAATCAGTTAATATTTTAGATAAGTTACCCAGTTATACTAACATTATATAGGAACTAAGTTAAAAATAAAAATAATAATTACAAAAGTTGTACACTTTAACCGGTCATTTGTGAACCTAAAAAATCCTATGTATAAAATCTAAATATTTAACTAAAGTACTCTTGATAAAATAATTATACTAAAATAATAAAAAAAAAATTTATAATTTTTGGTAAAATGTTTTTTAATTATTAATCTGCAAACTGTAGAGACCTAGAAAAACATAAGTGCTTTTATAGATATAAAGCTAATTCTCGAGGAACAATATTGTTTAATACTGTTCTGTATTGGACAATAATAATCAAAGTAATAATTGATACTGATGCCAACAATACTTTTTTTTAATGACAAAACAATTTTACAAACAACAAAATATTTGGAAGGCAGGACTAAACTTGTTGAATATGGTTGAACAACGACGACAATTAATTATCTATACAAGTGCTTCCTTGTAAACTAATTTGAACCAATGTCCACAGAAGCAACGTTTTGGCTCGCCTGAGTGTAACCCATCCAATTTAACGTGTGATGAGTCTTCTTCGCATACACAACCAACAATTCTAGCTTCAAAGGCAGATGGAATTTCATTTGGTGTTTCTTGGTGCCTACACCTCGGCTTAATAGATTTTAAATTGTACGGGTCCTATACTATAACAAAAAACATTTTTGATTTCCTTAATAAATTTAATATTAAGTTTTTAGGAGATAAATTACATTTTTATAAACTTAAATAAATACACAATAATGTTTGTTAGGACGCCATACTATTCAAAGTAGATGAACTTTTTTATTGCTGTATTGGATTTCAAGACTTAGTATTATTCAAATAGATTTATACAATTTGTTTTAAATGATTGGAAATATTTGATAAAAAAATAATTTGTTGAAAATCATTTTTAATAATATCGTTTAATATGTACAGACAATACAAACATAAAAAAATGCAGCATTGTGAATTACTTAAATTGAATGTAATTTTATGTAATGTTTGAACCTTTAATAGCCTATTTGCCTATAGTAACTGCCAATGGTATTTAAAAGCTAAATATTTTTAGTTGAGTAAATAATAATATACCTAATTCATTAAAAAAACAATTAAAACATTTGAAGCAATTTTAAAAATGTATTATTTGATCTATAATATCTACTATTAATACAAGCTTTATAAAAATGAATAGATTCCCTAATAAAGATTATAATTTAAAATACAACTTACATCATTTCCAGCTAAACGCAAAAGCATTTCTTTTTTTTCAATACCAGTGGCCAAGTCCAACGGATCGGGAAATCCTAAAAATAAAAATAATACTATTACTAGGATTATTCAATATGATTTCAACAATAAGTATTCTAAAATAATCTGTAATAGAAGTATTTCATTAGAAAAATTAGTTATTTAAATAAATTTATTTTTTGAATATTTTCCATTCAAAAGTATTGATGTAGGTCTGCTTGAGATACTTCGCATGAGTTACTATGGATATTTTTATTTTTATTAGTTTCTATATTGGTATTAAAATATATCTTTTGAAGTAGTCACCTAAAGTCAATATAACTAAATCATAAAACTAACTAAATAAATAAAGTATACAATAAAAGTATATTTTTTTTATGTATTTTTGAATAAATATAATATTCATTATTTAAAAAGAAGGTGGACAAGTGGGTACCGCCCGCTCTGCTGTATAGTTATTGTAATGGATATGTTATATTTTAATACAATAATAAACCATTGTATACGAAAAACGATTCTGAGCAGTTAGCAAAGTTCTTATAATGTTATTATTTTTTATTCGTTGCTACGGTGATAAACAAAGCGTTAGAAATTAAAACCTCATTTTTAGCGGTTTTTTGTAATTTGTCAGTAGTTTTCCTCTACGCTCTCTAAAACTACATGGAATTTTCAATTTTGACGTCTTAATTTAGTTCACTTTTCTATCAGAAAAGATGCTGATCTCAAAAATTGAAGCATGGAAACATTTGGATAGAAAGCATGCTTACTATCCAAAATGTTGCGAACTGACAGAAAAAAAAACCACATCACTGTAAAACCAATACATTCTTTTGCTCAGCTTAGAATCTAAAAAGTTGTAAAACCATAGCATACTACTAGATATTTTTCCTTTACAAGGAAAATCTATAATTCATAAATATGTTTTTGTTAATAAGTAACCATTACAAAAACAAAAACTAATCAAGTACTCAAACTTTATTATGTTCGAACTTATTGAACTGTCCGAGATGCAAACACAAATCCAGAGGGTTAGCTAAGGAGCCCCCCCCCCCCAGGAAATTTTGTATACTATGAATTAATTTATATAACATAATATAGTTTATGTGTACATAAATACACAAATTTAAAATGTTAATATTGTTATCAAATCTTATCTAGAATCTAAAATGCACTAAAATTTTACTTTTTTCTGAAAAAAAATTGACCCTCTTCCCATTTAAGATTTCTAGATGCTTGCCTGTTAAGATTTTCAATGATTCAAAATTTAAGACATTTAAGTACCCCTTGTTAAAATTTAGCTAAATTGTATAGAACATATTATACTAAAAGTCTAATTTATATATTTAAACATGTCTACCTATAGTATAAATAAGTAACTTTTTTTATATACTCCTGTAATCAATATTGTGTCACTTAATCAATGTTTTGTTTTAAAATTTAAAATATAATTATTATGGTAAATAACTACATGAAAGCTTATCGTTTTGATTAGATATTGGCCTAGTTGTATATAATCTCATTATCTACCTATACTAAATTTAACATACAAGTTAATGAATTAAAAATAACTTGTAGGTATATTTGTTTTATTTTGATATATCTAAACCTATACTTAGATTTAATTAAGCTTATTAAATATGAATTATATCAAATAAGATATAAAAATATATAATCTGATGATTCAAGTCCTAATTGGTACGTAATACTAGGTACCTATTAAAGAAATGTCTAGATACAGATTAATAATTATAAAAAGTAATTTTAAATTGTCAAGATACCAGCCCTACCTATTTACAATTTGCAATCAACAAATTATATAAAATGTATAATAGAACTATTGAAAATGTTTATTTAATTATCAAAATAAAATAATGAATGGTCAAAAATTAATAATGGTAAGTCGTCTATATAAAATATTCTCTATCGTGCTGGTATTCAAACTGGCAATTGATTTCCACAGTAAAGGTTAAACATCAAAACTATTGTTAGTATTAATATTATTATTAGAGCGGATTTGCTGAAAGCTGACTAGCTACGCACAAAAAAAAAGAATTCGCTTACCTTCATCCTTGCTTGTGCTTAACCTCGCAGCCGAGGTTGTGAACATCCGTGGTGAACTTCGGTAGGCGAGCTTCGAGCCCAGGACTATTAGTCTTGAATTCATTACTATGTATTTAGGGTTATTTTAAGTACGAAACTTAACTCTTTCGGACGAGATGGTAGTCAACGAATTTTTCCGCCAGAATCCGGCTAGGTAGTCCGTGTGGTGAGCGGTGAGCGGTTCAAAGGAAAGAAAATTTACTCAGGTTGTCGAGACGGGGTTAAACACATGATTGTAGAAGGTCAATTTGCGCATAAAAAAGGAAATAGTTTACGCCTTTCGAGCGAGAACGGATAAGTTGGTAACGCCGATAAAATGATTTTTCATCGCCCACAATCACTATTTCCTATATAATATCTATTCTCAGACACCAAAGCTTAAAATTTAATAAATAATAATATACTATTTGTGCTAAAAATCTATTTTTTAAAAGATTTTAGATTTTATTAATTTTGTATTCGTAATCTAATGAAATAATCAATTACAATTATACGTTCATGTAAATCCTAAAAAACGTAAGATGATTATACCGCAGTCCTGGAAATCGATTTTCAAGGGTTTGCTAGCCTGTACAGAGAACTGTTCGGCTATCTCGACCCGCTGCCGACATCTCTCTCTCTTTTCATCGAACGTGCATGTATGGCTTGAGAAGTTCGGATTTTCTCGATTTATCGTGTCGTTCTTTCGGTCCTTTCGTTTCATTACGCTAGATTCAAGGTATGTATTTTCGTGGTTCTATGCTTTTTGCTTTTATATTTGATTAGAATTGGTGTAGTGAATTTAGTTATTGAATCTTGACGGTAGTTATCAATTGATGTGCGCGTGTACGGGCATAAAGCTTCGTGTTAGTTCAAAGAAATCGTATTAGAGATTGTAGAAATCAAAGTATCTAAACTCGCCGTCATCAAATGCATCATCATTAGTCTGGCAATTTATTTAATAGCGTTTTATTCTACAACTATCGGTAAAATTTGACTAGATTAGGGTAATACCTTACTATATTTTCAACAAATGTGTAGCGTGTATTTTAGTATTTACACGATACTTAGGTTAAGTGATAGCAGTTGTTGTGATAACGAAAATTCAAAACAACGACTGAAAAGTGAAAATTGTATAGGTACATATTAACAAGACAAATTAGATAGAAGAAAGAATTAGAAAATCTAATTTGTCATGCATAATAATATAGTGTTCGTAATTCATTTTAATTTTATTTTGATTTTTGATACATTATTATAAGGTTCATTAATCTTATATACTATGTTATGTACCTATTTGGACATTTTATGTATAACAAATTTAATAAGATTCATACCTGTGAATTGTTATTTATTTTTGTTTAATATCAATCTTTATATCTGCGTTTTTTTTCGTAAAGATCAATTGCTTTGGTTATTTTAATAATGATTTTTAATTTATTATTATTTATTTACAGATGCCTATCCCAACACAAGCTAAAATTGTTAAAAAGGGCAGTGGAGGCCCTGATCAATTTGAGTTGTCAATTGCCCAAGCTCTTCTGGAATTGGAAAACAATAGTGACTTAAAAGCTCAACTCCGCGAGTTGTACATTACAAAAGCTAAAGAAATTGAGCTTTTAGGCAAAAAGGTAAGTTTTATTGGTTTAAAAAATATAGTTACGATAGGTTTCCACCAAACTATTTCATGCTGTGTTCTGTACTTGGTAGAGATCAACAAGGGTCGGACCATTGTGGAGACTTAAAATACTCTTTTAATTGTATAATATAAATATTGAAAATATAAAAATAATATATCATAATTTTATATTCTAGAGTATTATCATTTATGTACCAATGCCACAAAGATCACAGTTCCAAAAAATCCAAGCTCGTCTCGTTAGAGAATTGGAAAAGAAATTCAGTGGTAAGCATGTTGTTTTCATTGGTGACCGAAAAATATTGCCCAAACCAACAAGGAAAACTCGTACCCAAAACAAACAAAAGCGCCCCAGAAGGTATGAATGAAATCCATATTTTATTTTCATATCAATTATTGTTGTATTTAATAGTGAATTTCATTTGCTGGATTGTTGAATTAAAACAATTGATTAAAAGTTGCAAAATGACATATTTATCTGTTTTTCTTATTATTTATAATAATTAATTTAATTATGTACTTTTCTGTTATCCCTACTACCGTGAGTCTCAATTCTATTATCTCAACTACCATGCCGATGCCGCGACTTCAGTTCGCTCGATGATTACCTGTTGCCGACCGTTGTTGTATTTATTAATTTTAAAATAATTATGTACCTGTGGAGTTAACCGAACAGTGAAAAAAATTCGTTTGAATTTTTTCAAGAAAAGGGTTTATTTCCAAGACACCCTAAATGCAAATCAGTCTTAAAAAAAATATACATTGGCAAAAATTAAATTTTTTGGAAATGCAACGTCAAGATGTGTCAGCATAAAACCAATATGTGTATGGGTAATTGGTTTGAAAATAGTAATTTGTCTTTTTTAACAATACTCAGATTTATATATTGTTGGAGTGCAGAATTAACCTCCTTTAAATTTTGTGAAAAGCATTTGGATATGAGTCATTGTGCGGTTGTCGATTGGAAAAATTACATGTGTGAAGTGTATACGATAATAATTAGTCAATATCAATAAATACAAATCGGAGGACCAGGAAAAATTGTTGAAATCGACGAGAGTATGTTTTCAAAAAGAAGGAACAACACTGGAAAGATATTACCTCAACAGTGGATATTTGGAGGCATTTGTCGTGAAACAAAGGATACATTTCTAATCCAAGTTCCTTATCGTACTAAGGAAAAGCTTTCCACTGCAATAAAACAATATATAAAGGTAGGTAACAGTATTCAGACTGTTGGTGTGGATATCATACACACAAACTAACCAGAGCCGGATACACGCATGGTACAGTCAATCATACTCATAACTTTGTTGACCCAGTTACTGGGGTCCATACTCAGCATATTTTATGTGGTTGGGGATCCGATAAATGGAGAAATTAAAAGCATGGGGAAACCAGGAGTCCTATCTGGAGACAAAACATTGAAGAAGAACCATTCGATAACATATTAAAAAATATTTCCAAAAATAGAATTTTAGACTTATGCAACGGTGATAATTTATTTTTATTTTTATATATATTTAATATCTTGATGATTTTATGTTGTATACTATAACTCTCCACTACTGTGATAATTTATGTGATCACTGATAATAAACATTATACTAATGTACTTTATTATATAAATGGAAATTCATGAACTGTCTTACTATCTAACTATTTTACTATCAATACGGAACTATCTGAATAGTACTACAATATTCAAGATAACAGAATTGAGTAGTCCGGGCATCGAGCAGGAGTTAGGGATAACAGAAAAGTACATTTAAATATTTTCGAACGCCTTAAATTTTCAATTACATTTACATTTGGCACATAGTTTAAAATTTATAAAATGTAACTTATCCAATTTTTGTTTTTACATTTTTTAGTTATAAATTAATTGTTTAATATTATTATCTATTTAGCCGTACATTAACGTGGGTCTATGATGCTATTTTGGATGATTTGGTGTTTCCTGCTGAAATTGTTGGCAAACGCATTCGTGTGAAATTGGACGGTAAACAAGTCATGAAAGTACATTTGGACAAGACTCAGCAAACAAACATTGAACATAAGGTAATTTTTACAATACATCAAATATATTCCAACCTTTCTAAAATTAACAAACCAATTATATATGCATTTAATATAAAATTATTATCACTTAATTATTGTTGCTTAAAATATATTGTACCAATTCAAAATTAAGTAATATTTCCTTTCTTTGTATAAATGTATTGATAAATTATCCACATTTTATACTCTGTTTAGTTGTTTAGTATAATTCAATAATACACTGACTTAGATATTGGTAATTATAACCATAATAGCTTTATGATCGAGAGTAAACCCTAAAACATGGTTTGTTCGCCTGTTTGTCAACATTTTATTTGGGTACCTGTACTGTAAGTTTCTGCCATGCTCAGTTGATTGAAATAATGGTGTTGAGAGGACGCTACACAGAAATTGGTTGTCTCCGTTAAACAAGTGGGTAACAGCAAATCTACACTCAGCGGATCACGTTTAACTCCGTTAATTTAATAATTAGAGTGAATCGATCTATTATAGTAATGTATCTGAGTTTGTATGTGGGTTTTTTTTTTTACAATAATTCGATTTTTAAGTGAGTTATGACTACTTATGAGCATTTATAAATTATGCTTTATTATATACGCATTACCTGTCGCAAAAATCCTAATATTCAAACTCAGATAAAGTTCTTACCATCAAGTTTTGTAGTAGGTCGATTCACTCTAATTTTTAAACTTACTGAGCTATACATGATCTGCTGAGCCCAAATTTGAAATATTACATACTTGTAAGACAGAGACAACAAATGGCTGGTGTGGCATACTCTTAAATTATTATTCAATGCATCATTGATCAGTCACTGGCAAGTATGGGATTTAATTAGACACAGTTACTTTGAAAAGATCTTATATGGCAACTTAATTGAATGTTATATTCCTTATTATGAATAGAATATTAATTGGCGTAGCCAGGAGGGCACAAGGTATGCCACTGCAGAAGTTATAGTAGGATTTACTATCTATGGTATGAGACACGTCTCGCCGTTTGTATTACCTCAGTCCTCAATTATCGACGTTTCCGTATTAGAGCCATTTTTTTCAATGTCTCCCCAACTTAAAACTCACGTCTCGTCACTGTACATGTCATTATATCCTCGTTTTGTAATTTTTAGCCTGTTGTTATTGATTCATCCAATCAATGTATTTTGTTTGATAGCAAATATTAACAGATAGTTTGTCTATATATAAAAAATTTCTGAGTATCTAAGGGTGAATCTTACTAAAGCCTCCCCCCCTACCCATCCCCTGGCTTACTTTGATACAAAGGCTTTTTGCATATCCTGAAATAAAGATCTGGCTACGCCTATAATAATAAAGATATTTTTTACTATCATTAATCATATGTATTTTGTTATTACAGGTGGATACATT